TACATAAAAATGAGAACTTTTAAATAGTTGATTTGATATTAAAAAAAATGTTTATGATATCTTCAAATTTATATTTTATTCAAATAAAAATCATTATTGCTTTCTTAAAAACACACAAAATCGTATTATAACATACAAATAATAAAATAGAACATTAAAATCGATATGTATCTCGTTGCATTGTGCGAGTATCCTTCTAATGTTTTTTTACAAAAGCACTTATTATAAGTCACAATAGTTTAACTTCTTCAAAAACCCTTTATTACTGGTTCGGTACCGGTACAAGTTGTTTATCCAAACACTCAAAAGTGCTTATTATCGGTGTCACCCCGGAATAAGTTAATAAGTTATTTTTATAAGCAATTTCAAACAGCCCCTAAATGATAGATTGTTTTCTTTGATGCAAAAATTATTTGATTATTTATTGAAGTTGTAAAATAAAAGATAGAAATCAATAAAAATTTGTCAAATTGTAATTTTGGCTGAAAAAACTAATCCAATTATTTTTATTATTATTATTTAAAAAGTCAATGTATTTTAATCTGATTTATAACCTTTATTTTGGTACCTCATGTTTGATATCTTATAAAATTTATACCAAAATATATTACACAAAATAAGAATCAGATCAAAATACATTATATTTTAAGATGTCAACCTTTTGCCTAAATTTTTGATATGTCACATACGAAATCTGATTAATCATTTAAGAATTTTAAAATTTATAAAATGTATCATAAACTATTAATTTAATATAATTAATATTAGAAGGTTAAATATGTAATTTTTTTAATTTTGATGACAACTCATAAATTAATATTTTGCTCTCTTTATATATTAATTATCTTTCCATAATTAAAAACTTTCATAATAATTCTCTCCCCCACTCATTTCTTTTCTTATGGATTTTTCCTTTTCTATTTTATGATATTATAGTTTATTAATAGATATAAATATGCATTAGTTTTTTTTTATTAACCTGGATATCTAACCCGCTATGCGAGCCGATTAATCTCAGGACGACCACCTGCTTTGGAGATGGCTCTGAGTCACCGCATTTGAACCTCTGTGGCCACAAGGGGATTTTTATTCCTCTTTGGATTTGAGTATGAGACCTCCTGATATTTTTGACCTTTGGAGCCAAACTTAAACCAATCAAGCACCACTCTTGTGGCTAATATGCATTAGTTTTGTGCTAACGAGTTGGTATTTGGTAGTGTCATTTTCGTTAACAATGTTTTTTTAAGTATACAATATTTATATACGGTAAATAGAACAAATAAATTCACACATCCTCCTTATATTTGGTGAGGTTTAACCCATTGACCTTCTAGGAGGCCAAGGACTCACAAACGCTAGGTCAAAGGCCTTTTGGTTTAAGAATGTTCTTGGGTGTACATATTATGTTCACAAAGTGGTATGTTTAGTTTTAATTTTATCATGTTGCTTGGTGTTTACAAGCTATACCAGATATTGCAAATATACAATATATATGTTAACAGTGTTAACTTGGTGTTTACAAGATGTAGGTTTTTTCGTATTCGCAGATTTTTATTGGATTGTTTGGTGTTTACAATTTGTTCATTGTGGTGTTCGTATCCTTAGTTTTTGGTTATGTTATTAATGGTAAGATAGAAGAGGGGGGATATTTATAAAATACTCACATTGCTCTTTAAAAGAAATTAAAATTACCAAAATTATTAATTTTCTAATTTAACTCTGAATTTAATATGATGTGTGATTTATATCAGATTTTATGGATCTCACAAATTATAAAGTTTCAAATGAAGACCCTCCACATATGATATACCCAAATAAATATTTTAAAAATATGTTAAACAAAATAAAAATCAAATAAAATTATGTTACATCCACATATAATTTACTCGATTAAACATAAATTATTTATATTTATAAACACTAACACTTAATCATCTGATAACTTCAAAATTTATGAGATCCGTGAGAACTTTTACTTTAAAGTTTTGTTTAATATGATTTTTTTTTCCATTTAAGTATAGTGTTTAATATCATAATTAACATATATTTGTTTCACAATTTGTTTGTTTTATGTATATTCGGTTCACAATATAAAATCTTTTTTATGTGTATCTTTTGTTTCACATACACGTTAAAAATGGTCACATTATAAATCGAGTATAAATGAAACAAATATATGTTAATTAATATTTTAAATCCAATTTTAGACTAAAAAAATCATACGATGCAATAGTTATCAATATTATTATAATTATAGGTTCTATAACCACTTTTGTTTTTATATTAATGATTATTTTGAAATAAACTTTTTTATTATTTTCTTAAATAAAATTTTCAATTGCAAGTGGGCATCAATTTTTTATGAGTATTGTCTTATATTCAGTTAATTCACAATAACCAAACACAATATATATATATATATATATATATATATATATATATATATATATGAAAACTATTAAATATTAAATTACTTATAATTTTGGGAAGGCACAAGTTAAGATGTGAACGCTTTATACCGGTTGGTCGAGTTGAAAACATTTGAACAACTCAACCCGATATTTGTTGTTTAAAAGATTTTTATCCAACTGAAATAAAAGTACAATACAACCCAACCTAAGTTGTATGAGTTGTGTTAGGTTGATCGGTTGGTCGAGTTGAAACTTTTAGTACATCGTTTAACAGTCTAACTAAGCAATTGTGCTTAAACGAAGTAAATCAAAATGAAAGCATACAAATAAAGCTAACAACTATATAAAAGATATTTGCATGAGACTTTTCATTAAAACTAACCGTTACATATATTAATTAATGAGTTAACAATCATATTAAATCCATGGTATTAAAAGGCATCAAATTTATCAGGTTGGGGTGGTTTAAATTAACTTAACCTAATATCAACCAATATCTATTGTTTGAAGATTTTATAACTCGATTATATATCAAACGGATCCATGTTTGACTGACCGGATTGACTATCGATTTTTTGATTACCCCTAATTTTGTATTTAGTTTGGAAAATCTTATATTATGTTATATATTAACAGAAGTGATAATAATAATACCAACATTATTATCATTAATGATGATAATAATAACATTAGTATTGTTATATTTTCTTTTTGATTAAATTTAATAATAAAATATATCAAGAGTAAATTACGGATTTGGTTTCTGTGAGTTGGTGGTTTTTACGAAAATGGATCTTGAACTTCATTTATTATAGATTATGACTCGTTGTATGTCGTTTTCTAATGAATTGGTTCCTCCCTCTAACGGTCATCCAACTCCTCTGTTAACCTTGATGGTAGTTTTGTTCGTTTCCTTCTTTTTTATTAACCTGGATATCCAACTCGCTATGCGAGCCGAATAATCCCAGGACGACCACCTGCTTTGCAGATAGTCCGGAGTCACCGCATTTGAACATTTGTGGCTACAAGAAATTTTTTATTTCTTTTTGGATTTGAACTTGGGACCTCCAGGCTCCATGTACTTTTGACCTTTGGAATCAAGCTCAAACCAACCAGGTACCACGCTTGTGGTTTTCTTTTCCTTTTTTTGTCTTTACTCGAAGGACCAATTTCGTAAGTCCCATATAAACCACATGAACCAAATTCGTAATTAGGTCTAAAAAAACATTAATTTTTTATACTTTTAAGTTTATTAAAGTGATTAATTATTATACTTTAATATCTATTAGTTATTATACTTAAAGTTTATTTTAATATATAATTTAGTTTTCTTGAAAATAATATGTATTATTTATATATATGCACACACGTTCACACACACACATATACTTATACATAATGAGGTTCATCGTTCAGGAGAAACCACCTCCATCAATCATTAGATTAATTGATTCAACGAGTATAATTAAGTGGACGTTTATAACGATATCTTTAAATCAAGAAAAATTCCACCACCCCTATTTTTTATTCGAAAATAATGAAACATAATCAAAAATTGAACGAAATAAATGACACTATACCGATTTATTTTCTTCATTTCACTTAGGCCTCAGCCAAGTCAGTAGGGGACCTTGTCGGGCTCGTTTAGGCGGCACAGACTATAGGGTAGCAGGTTTGTGTGATCGGACTTTMTGCCTTTTGAACTCTCAATTAGAAAGACTTGTTGACCTTCACTTCACATCCCAATTTTTTTCATGGTTTTCTGGGTCTTCATTTTTTTAACGTGTTCCTCTAAACTCAACTTTCTCTCAACACAAATAAACGAAAAACCAGAAAACCACGAAAAAAAAATGAAATAAAAAATAAAAAATATATCAATATGGATATCAAATTAGTGAGAAATGTGATTGTTTTTTATTTAATCATAAATTTGGTCCTTGGGTTTGTATGGGCTTTACGAAATTGGCCCCTCGAATAAAGACAAAAAATGAAAAATGATGAAAATGCCCTCAAAGTTAATGAAGGAACCGGATGACCATTAGAGGAGGAACCAATTCGTTACAAAACAACATACAACGAGTCATGATTTATAATAAATAAAGTTTAGGGACCATTTTTATAAAAACCACAAAACCACAGGGACCAAATCCATTAGAGGAAGAATTAAATCAATTTCGGACGAAACCCAATCCCCTTTTGAGGGTGAGTTCATGCATTACGAGAATATTTTAATTTTTATGATAAGTTTTCTTAAACCAAATGCATCATGTTATCATCATTCTAATTATTTAAAACAAACATCACTTTAGAAACAGATAATTAACAAATAGTCTTATTAGGTATGATGATACTAAAATACAAATATATATATATATAGAGGCGGATCAAATCAAAACTGTCTAATTCTTAGAAATCGTGTAAACTAATTTCGACCAATAGAATTTTTTTTTAAAATTAAATTTAATCATTAAGGGTAGATTTGTCATTTACATTATTTTCTATAAAATATGAAAGTTATTAATAAATCTTAATTAAGACAACATAATAAAAGAAATTTTATAAATGGTAATATTTAAATTAGAATTTTAATAATTGAATATCGTTATTTGGTTTCACGGTTTATTAGTGGTAATAATATGAAAATCGAAAATTATTATATTCATTAATCTATGAGATCAGTAATAGATCCAAACAAAGATTCATGAACCGGTAAAAATATAATCAGATGTGAAACAGATTTATGCTAGATTTGTTCATGAAAACGTTCATTGAGGAGCTTGTTTATGAAACGTATGCAGATTGGTTCGTGAAAACGTTCAATGAGCAGCTTGTTTTATGAAACTTTTGGAGATGAACTGGTTGCGTAATATAATATTCTTGCATAATCTTGTTTTCTTATCAACAATATTTGATGAAATTGTTTCATTTTGTTTTATTTTTTTGATGATTTTGTTCACTTAATGGTTAACAAACCATGTAATGGTAAATGCATTGACTCTATGAAATGTGTTCGGATTGGAAAAAATTGACCGATGAAATGGGTGCAAAAAAAAAAGTGAAACCATTTCATAATTGTTAAGAAAATGTTATGTAATTATCGAACAGTGAAACAATTTTCATTATTACAATGAAACAGATCCATCTACCAATAACATGAAAATGACAAATATCTCATCAGACATTAGCAAACAGTGAAACCATTTCATAATTGTTAAGAACATGTTGTTTAATTAGAAAACAGTGAAACCATTTCAGAATTAGATTAAAACGGATCCATCTACCAGAAACTTGAAAATGACAAATGTCTCATCTAGCATTAGGTTGATTTGTGTATTGAACTGTGAAACCATTTCGTTCATGAAATATAGTAGTAATTTTTTTTTTATTTAAAAGGTTTCATTATGTTAAATTGATTATAGTGTGTTTTATTTTTATTGTTGATCTATTTTAATGATGGATGTTATTTTTTTATAATATTTGAACATAAAATTAATATACTATTTTACAAATGATTTTGTTTAATTAATATTACGATATACATAATATGGTTGCCATTAATATTATCACTACTAAAGTTACCATTTTACCCTTTTTGAGATTATATAACATATATTTTTATTCAATATCCTAATATAACCTAAATTAACCTTGACAATTGATCAAGAAAATGGATGAATGAGATTGGTTTACATGGTTTATACAAATGATGACGGTTTTCATTTGATCGTTCCTCCCTCTCTCTCTCTCTCTATATATATATATATATATATATATATATATATATATATATATATATTAAACATATATATATATATATATATATATAGTTTTATAAAAATTATATATTAACGACAGGTTGGCGGGTTGGGTAGATTGAACTCGACCTAACCCAATTTCAACCATCTTAATTAGCGGCTTTGACGGGTTGGGTTCAATCAGGTTCTTAGTGGGTTGGGTTGTACGAATTTTGCGGGTTGACCATTTTATGTACGCTCCTAGCTAAAAATTATGGACTACCAATAACATCCACAAAAATTTAAGTTATTTTAAGTTATGGTTTGAACCTTGGAAAAACCGGTATATAACTAGATCAAGTCCAAACTTTGTCTAGATTTCGTACCACACCTTCAATTAATAGTCATATATTTACAATAACTCTAGATAAAATGAACACGAGGAATCTCATAAATTAGAACGTTACAAATATTTCATATAGATTATGTATCTATATCTATACTATATTATAAAGCATTTGACAAAAACTCTTAAAAACCACTTTTTATGCGTAAAAGTACTGTTTATTAATGCAAATTACTTAAAAACTCAAGATTGCAAGTAGATTGTGCTTAAGTATAACTTATTAAAGCTCTATATCTGAATTTGTATAACTAATTGCAGATAAACATGATCAAATACAGGATAAACATCTCATTTTAAATATAAAAAATCTAAAATATAATTAGGATAATCATTGAGTTCTAACAGAATACTTAATTATTATCT